ACATCCCTGATACGAGTCCCTGGTAAGCAGCACGCCTCTCTAGAGAGTGTGTCAGGTCAGCAAATGGGTGTTTCCGTACCTCTCAGAAGAGAGTCGCCCACTACTATCACCTGTCGCCTTTTCTTAGTTGCGCTGGTTGTTATACGGGGAGCAGATTGGGCTGCCTTACTCAGCTCCAGCATCTCTCATGACAGGTCAGGTCTTTCCTCTTCAGTCTGCAGAGCGGTGAAGCGGTTCTGCAAGGGCACCTCAGGCTTCGAGGAAGTCCTCCTGCTGGGCTGGTCCTTGCTGTTGCAACCGTCCATTCTTTTGCTTTATTGGCCCCCCTCTCTTCTGTGTGTGCTGGTGGGGGAGTTTTTGGCTGTTTGGCCGTGGGCTGTGGGTCCACTGCAGACTGCCCTTGGAACCAGCTATCTAACTCCTTCTCAGCCTCCCTGATGTAACGCAGCCTTCTCACCACCTCCTGCAGCTCAGCCACCTGTTGCAGGAGGTCCTCCACCTGGGCACACCTTTTGCAGGCAGGTCTGCTGCCTGTCCCTGCCCCAGGAGAAAGGTCTAGGCTCTTCCTGCAGCCTGAGGACTGCACTGCAGCCTCTCCCTTCAGCAGCTCCATCTGGGTGGAGGCATTGGCCACCACTGGGGTAGATGATGCAGACCCCCCAGCCAGAGCTGCAACCTTTCCTCTCAGATGAGTGCCCACCATTCTGCCTTGAGGGTCACGTAGGATGAGTGCCCTTGACCTGTGCAGATGGTCACAGAATGGTGCCTGGTTTCTGGGTTATATGTACTTCAAGTCTCCCACTTGCCTTCAAAGAGGCGCCCTCCCTGCGCGCCCTTCCGTGCGAACTGCTGTGCAAACTGCCGCACCATGCCCTGTTTGCCTGTCCTGTTCGCAGCACTCCTGGTCTTTAGCGCTTGCTAGGGCTGCCTTTTGTGGGAGTTGCAAGGTATTTATAAGTGTCAGGGCACTGCAGTGCCGGTGGCTTTGTGGGGGGCAGGTGCCAAGGGTATCTTCAGGCTGGCAGGGCAGGGGTCTTGCCAGCCAGGGCCTGTCCTGCTGCCCCCAATGAGGGAGCAGGGCAGGCTGTGGGGGCAGCTGGGGGCAGCCCCCAGCCAAGGGCATCAGGCACCTCTGTGGGGATGGGGCTTGGCTGTGGCCAGGATGGGCTGTCAGCCCGTGAGTGGGGGTCAGGATCAGGACCACTGAGGGTAACCAGGGTCAGATACAGCCCCAGGATGGCAGGGCAGGGCCATGGGGACGGGGACAGGCTGAGGTCAGGCCAGGATGTGAGCCTAAGTGTTGGGCCTGGCTCAGCAGGACCCATGACAAGGCAGGGCAGGGCTGTGGCAGAGCTAGAGACGAACATCCTATGGTGTCACCAGGGTGGGTATTGATGGCCCTGGACTGACCTGAAATGAGGCTCCTGGGCCCATGGGCAGGGGTGGGGGAGGCCCCAGGGGAGGCTGGGCAGGGCCAATAAGGGTTGTTAGTACTCTCAGGGCCCTGACAATGGACTGGACCTTCACAGAAGAGGTGGGGGTTTCTCCCCACCTGTATATATGCAGGAAGAAGATGGAATGTGACTAAGCAAAAATAAATTGGAACAGGGTATGAAGGGTGGGTGGCCTTTCACTTCAAAGGAGCCAAAACAGACTAGAGAAACTAATCATGAGATTTCAACCAAACAGAAAAATTCCAGACAAAGAGAGCCCCTATGTGCCCCTGAGAAAAAGTTTGTGATAGATTTTCATAGCTGCTGTTGTGCTGGGACTTGGTCTCTGCAGTGCCTGTGCACCGCCTGAGTTACCTTAGCCAGCAGGATGCAGTTAGGAGCTTGTGTAGGCCCTTATTGTTGTGCCTTGTGTGGGTAAGCAGGGTTTGGCTGCATGGGGGCAGGGGACTCTAGCCTTGAGTACCCTCTGCATAGAGCAAAGCCCTTTGTAGTGGAATTTGGTCTGTCCCTTGGGATTTGACCTTCAGTGCTCTGTGCTTCATATGAGGTAATTTACAAATGTTTTCCATTAAATGTTTTAAAAATACTATGGGAAACAGAAGAACTGACTAGCTCACAAAAGTATGCATGATGTTTGTTGGGGGAATTCTATCCACATTGTACTTCATATGCTCAAAGCACAGAGCAATCAATCCCTAATAACTAATCCCCACAGAATCCTGTGGAAAAGACAAATAAGAGATGTTATCACAGTTTTGTATGAGAGGTAACTGAGAAAGAAAAATAAAGTGACTTGCCCAGAGCTGAGCAGGAAATCAAATGCAAAGATGGCTTCTTTGGCTCCTATTTCATGTTTTAATGCCATGCTGCTTTTTCTAATGTGGTCATGAAAATGTGAGAGACAATATGCCCCATAAAACTGAACTCCCAGGGATATTTTGCAGAATGACTCCCTGGTACTTATGACAGTACTCTTGTCTGGATCCCAGGTGCTTTACACCTTGTTTATAAAACAGCTGCAAAATGCTCCCGTGCTTTAGTTGTGATTTACCTCAGTTGGTGCAGGAATATATGACTGCATAAGTTACTAGACACCAGAGAATCTAGCCCTGAAACAATACAAGTCCCACATAGCATGAGTCAAGATGCATGACCCTGTCTGTATCAGAATGCTACGTGCCTAATCAGAATTTCATAATAAAATGAACAAGAATTCATTTAATTCAGAATTGCCTGGGTTTGGCTGGATAACTGTTGTGCATGTTTTCCTTGCCTGGCTCACCCATTTCAAGAGGCTTTGAAAATTTGGCACTAATTCAAATGTAAATGGTTCACAGTTATACAGTAGAAAATGGCAATGCAACACTGATGTACTGAAGTAGCCTACTTTATCCCTTGCCCTTTTTAATAATACTGCATTCAGAGGATTCATAGACCCAAACCTGAAATACTTTGCATAGTTCTCATTAGTCCTTCAGGGTATGATTTCCAGTATCATAGTATAGAAATGAACATAAACAGAACTGCAAATAGCTTCAGCTTTTGCTCCCCACTATTTACAGGTAAAATTATGAGCAAAAAAAGTCCCTCTTAAAAGTTTGTATTATGGAGACAGAACAGTGAAAGCTCTTAATGTTTGTTTTCTATATTGTTGCTATTGTAAAACTACTGTAAATAAAGGGTTGGTCAAAACTATCTTAGTGAAGACATTGCCAGAAAACTGTAAATCTTATAGCTTGAGATACTTGTTATAAACTGGGTTCTTCACTGATCAAGAGTCTAGGTGCTGCCTGCAGATGAATAAAACTGAAATCTCCTTCTCTGCTGTGGCAAAACTTGTATTCACAGTAGTGGATGGTCTGCATAGAACCTTGTCTCAGTGTCCAGGCTGTTTGTCCAAGTGGGGAATTCAGGTAGGATTTATTTTGCCTGGAGTAAGGATTGCTGCTCTTTTGCCTTTCACTATTATTTTAACCTTGCTGCATAGGAAGCTATAGACATAGGGATGCAATGCTGAGTTGAAGAATGTAAATGATAAAAGGCCAGGAAATTAAATTTGGTTTCTCATGAAAGCTCTGTAGACTAAATATGTATTTTGGCTTGAAAAAATCCTATCCTTCAGCATGTATGGTGTAGAGCCAGAATAGACTTTGTGAGTTGATTAGACAACCTGACTGGACCAACTGTAGCACTGGTGGCAGAGGTAGCTGTATTGGTTCATATACCAAAAAAATATGAAGCCTGCTGAGTGCTTTGCAGAAAGAAAGCGTGTTTCTGCATGCATGAAGATCAAAAAGCTGGTGCAGCTTGTTGCTTGTGTTGCCAGCTGAGATCTCCAAAACAGCTTTGAGAGTTAAAGAACATAAAGGCCCTCCCTCCCCTTGCCCGGTAGCAGCTCTGAGGTTGGAAGAGTTCCTGCCTCTGTGGTTTGTGAGCTATGCCTCTGAATTTTGCTTTTTCATATTCACAGTTACAATTTCATCTGTAGACTTATGGCACTGATTTTATTCAAAATATATAAAGAAATACACAATTAATTGCAAATTTAAATTAGAGTGCTAGAGGTGCATTTGCAATAAATGCACTTATTGCCCTTGTTTGTTTTATTTCATCTGCACACATTACAGTCATACAATTGAAACATCATGTATATTTCCAGATGCAATCATAAAAAATATTAAGTTTTTTTATTTTAATGGATGTATCTCTAAGTTCATACATGTACTATTTAATCCTTGTTACCTCATTTGAATAATTTTGACAGAAAATCATGGACTGTATATATCTGTGTTTCATTTTAAAATAATTATAAATAATTAAGCCATATTCATTCTTTTGATGCAATTGTCCTGGATTCACCCCTGCAGACCTATGAGTAACATTGTTTTGATAAATCAAATTTCTTCAGACCATCTCAGGCACTTCACTTAACTTTTTTAAAGTTTACTTGTATGACAATTTAGCATGTTAGACTGTAACCTCTATGCACACAACAGCATTTTTCATTATTTTTTTAGCCTAAGAAAACCAACTATTTCGCATTTGATATCAATAAACTAGCTAAAAGGTCATCTGCCAAGTTCTTCACAGATAGATAAACAAAAAGTCCCCAAGCTAATTTCTAAGTCAGTCCTATATTTGGCTGAATACAAGGCTAGAGAAGTTCATAGTAGATGGCAGTCTTCAATTTTTAATGGGAAGTCAGAAGCACATAAAAATAGCTTTATGGATGGAGTTCTTATTTAACTCTAGTTTTTCTAATAGAAATATATATTATGATGTAGATTCCTTCTCTATAAAGCTGAATAGGGAAGCAGCCTTTTTTTTCAAGTCTGTCAGCCACAACACATTTGTTAAAAATTATCTGTCACAAGGATCCCCCCAAATGTATCAGGTACAATAGAAATAATGTATAATTTTCAAATTGCTCATAATTCTGATAAGTGTTACTGTTGTTATGGTATTACAAAGCTGAAATAATAAAGACAACCCTTTCCCCTCCAAGGTTATGAAATTATAAAAGCACCCTTTTTTTCCTTTCCTAAGAATATGGAACCACACCTAATGATCTTGGAGACACCACGAATAATAGTAATCGAATCACTTCTGCAGATGTTTCCAACAAAGAGAATGAAGATAGTATCACTGTAAGTATATACATTGTTTCCTGATCTGTAATCTTGTCAGATTTTTTCGACTATACAACTAATGAAACTGCAAAGATTGTAATGGAACCCTAAGCTACCAGAACACCAGAGCTATTACTATGTGATGATCAAAATCAAGAGGAAAAAAATCAATGCACACCCCCTCTTCCCTCACCCCATTTTCTGAGAGTGGATCACTTTTCTTTCCAAGTAAAGTTGCTAATTTGTTTCATGCTTTTCTGAACAACTAACTGTAATTTGTTAGCCCAAGACTTTGCTTCTAATTTTAGCCAAGGAGAGCAACTCTTTTTTTACAAAATACAACATTCAAGGTAACTTAAAGACTGTTGCTTTAATTCCAGTCCCAAAGTCAGCTGCTCCTCACAAAGAGGACACGGTGTAATGAACTTTCAAATTCTAATTGTGTTTTTAATGTGTGATTTCATGTAGTTTTTTGATAAGATAATTTGTAGTGGATCTTAGTATAGGCAGCTGAATTGGTGAGTCTACTCCTTTGCTGCCTCACCTATCATGATGTTGGAAATTGAATGTTAGATGAACGTTAAATGTCATGAATTGTTGGAAACTGGTAGCAGGCGGCCAGTCTGGTTAGTAGCACTGCCTCCCTGCTGCAGGCATTGATGACTCTGCAAGGCAGCAGGCAGTGGAGAGTGTGTGCATTTGTGGTAGATTGTGAGTTGGGAAAGAATGGAAAAGGAGGCTATGAAGGCTAAGTATTGTCTCAATACATCTGAGAGTGATGAGGGAGGAATCTGTTTTGTGCAGGTGGGAGAAAGCCTACCCAGTGTCTCTCTCCAGCGCCAATGGTTGGGGAGTGAAAAGTAATAAGGGCAGTGAGAAGGGTTCCTAAAACTTCAATTTTCTTCTGTTTCCATCCATTAAGTGCAGTGGGGGCATAATTTTGACAGCCTCCAGTCCCTCACATTGACAATGGTTGCTTCATGGAGATATACTTTGATAAAAAATCAGGAAGATCCCAGACAGTCTTATTTTTTCTGATAACAGAATCACAGAATAGCTGAAACTGGAAGTCACCTCTGGACATCATCTAGTCCAACCCCCCACCTGCTCAAAGCAGAGTCAGCTACAGCAGGTTGTCCAGGACTGTATCCAGTCAGGTTTTGAATATCTCCAAGGATGGAGACTCCACAGCCTTTCTGGGCAACCTGTGCCAGTGTTCGAACACCCTCACAGTAAAAAAGAGTTTTCTTAGGTGCTTTTCTTATGTGTTTTCTTAAAACATGCCACTCTGCTGAAAGGGAAAGGGGTGATGTGCATTCCCTCCCACCTGCCTTGAATGTGTGGGATGTTGAGAAAGTGGTTCTCAGAGTTGTCTGAGTCTCTATTCTCTGCAGGATAGAAGAAACCTCAGCAAGCGACTTATTTCTGTACTCTTTGATCTGAGTGCAAATGTTTCCTATTTGAAATTAATCTCTACCTAAATCATAGAATCATAGAATGCTTTGGGTTGGAAGGGACCTTTAAAGATCATCTAGTTCCAACACCCCTGCCATGGGCAGAGACATCTTTCACTAAACCAGGTTGCTCAAAGCCCTGTCCAAACTGACCCTGAGCACCTCCAATGATGGGGCATTCGCAGCTTCTCTGGGCAACCTGTTCCAGTGTCTCACCACCCTCACCGTAAAAAAATTTCTTCCTTATGTCCAATCTAAATCTACCTTCTTTAAGTTTAAAACTGTTGCCCCTTGTCCTGTCACTACAGGCCTTGGTAAAAAGTCTCTCTCCATCTTTCTTATAAGCCCCCTTTAAGTATTGAAAGGCTGCAATAAGGTCTCCCCGGAGCCTTCTCTTCTCCAGGCTGAACAACCCCAACTCTCTCAGCCTTTCCTCATAGCAGAGGTGTTCCAGCCCTCTGACCATTTTTGTGGCCCTCCTCTGGACCCGCTCTAACAGGTCCATGTCTTTCTTGTACTGGGGACCCCAGAGCTGGACGCAATACTCCAGGTGGGGTCTCCCGAGAGCGCGGAGTAGAGGGGGAGAATCACCTCCCTCGACCTGCTGGCCACGCTTCTTTTGATGCAGCCCAGGATACGGTTGGCTTTCTGGACTGCGAGCACACGTTGCCGGCCCGTATCCAATTTTTCATCCACCAGTACCCCCAAGTCCTTCTCTGTAGGGCTGGTCTCAATCCATCCATTCCCCAGTCTGTATTGATATTGGGGATTGCCCCGACCCAGGTGCAGGACATCGCACTTGGCCTTGTTGAACCTCATGAGGTTGGGTTAATGGGTGAATCTGAATGTATACTGAATATTTCTGAAGATGGTTAATGAGAAAAAATCAGATCTATTTGTGTCCTCTTTTTTAGGTTTATATTATGGTGGGAAGTGCAGCACTGGTGTGCTTAGTAATAATGCTCATTATTCTGAAGTTTGGAAGACACTCTAAGTTTGGGATGAAAGGTACGCAAGGTCATTTTTTATATATCTCCTGTAATTGTTGTGGGTTGTACAAGCTTATACCATAGGTATCTGCACCAAGAACAGTCAAGATAACTAGATAAAGTGCCATCACATTTTGTGTTTCATTTATTCATCAGATAAGTAAGAGCAGAGACAGATGTAGATAGGAATATATAATTTTGGTTTGAACATTCTGCTTCTCTGTTTTTTCTTATCACAGATCCCTTTTCTTTCTCTTCAACTGCACAGCCCCATGGGACACTTCCTGGAATAAAATATCACTTGAGTCACTGTAGGGAAGTAGAAGATAAGAAATTTAAATTTATTCTGATAAGAGCTTGATTACAAATATTTGGCAACAATCTATGCTATATGCAAGAGATACTTCAGAGAATACTATAAATGCTGCCTTGAGGTGATAGATTGTATTGGGTCTGGCTGGAATGGAGTTAACTTTCCCTATAGCAGCCCTTATAGTGCTGTGTTTTGTATTTGTAGCTGGAAAGGTGTTGATAACACACCAAGGTTTTGGCTACTGCTGAGCAGTGCTCCACAGCATCAAGGCTGTCTCTCCAACACCCCTGCCCCCAAAGGCCAGTAGGCTGGGGGTGGGCAAGAGGATGGGAGGGGACATAGCCAGGACAGCTGACCCAAACTGTCCAAAGCAATATTCCATACCATATGATGTTGTCTTCAGTAATAAAAGCCAAGAGAAAGGAGAAGGAAGGATCAGCAGAGACGAAGTATTATGAACTGACTGCAACTCCCATTCCCCATCCCCTTGCACTGCTCGGGGGCTGGGGAAGGAGGGTGTAGAAGATTCATGAGTTAAGCTGAGCCTGGGAAGAAAGGGGGCTGGGGGGGAAGTTGTTTTTAGTTTTGTTTTTATTTCTCATTATCCTATTCAGTTATTAATTGGCAATAAATTAAATTAATCTTCCCCAAGTTGAGTTGATAGAGCAGCTTGATGGGCACCTGGCAGCCAGCCAAAGTTAACCCACCACAGTTTGTTCTGGAGCTCCAGGAATTCAAGGTAGGGACAGTAATTTGGAGAGGCAACAGGCAAAACATGGACTGGACATTGCCAGAGAGCAGAATAATTATGGGGAATTTTTGTTGTTGTAATTGTGGTGAAGGGACAAGGGGTGGAGTGTGTGTAAATTGTCCACTTTTGTTGGTGTTGCGATGATGTTCTTCTGATTTTGGTGTGGGAAATTCTTTTTGTTGATGTAAGTGAAGTTTGTGAAGATTGTGTGATAATGTATATTTTAATGATAATTTTTAAATATGTGTTTCACAGAAGCCATCCCTGCTGCCTCCTCCACTACCAAAACTTTGCCCTTTAAACCCAATACATATATTCAATGGCAAGAGGGGAATGTGCGTTTGCAGTGCATCCTGTCACACTGGTTCTTTCTCACGGATACATTTTCTTGAGCCTGTGTGTGTGTCTTGGGAAAT